AGGATCATCAGGAATGACTATTCTATTGGGAATAGAATTTGATGACCCCGAAGTAACATTACTCGCAGAACAATTAAAACAAATGACAATTGCAGCAAAACATGAAGCACCGCAGAATAAACAAGAAAAAAAATTAAATCAGATCTATCTAGAAAGAGCACAAAGAGAAATAGATTAATTCAGAAAACAAGTAATAGAAAAAGATAATACTAAAAAGAAAAGAAAAGGAAAAGCTAAAAGCTTAAATATCACCTTAAATCAACAAAAAGAAAGCAAAGTTAAAACACCTAAAATGAGAACATTCATTAAGACACAATTGTCACAATTAGATCAGATCTTACAATTAGAAAAAGAACATGAAGATTCAAGAATTAGAATGAGATTAAGACAATTAAAACAACAACTAGAAAGTATGGAAACGAATTATAAATATGTTTCCTAATTAACAAAGCAACAAACTAATAAACATATCCAGGAAATTGAAAAAGTCACAAATAGAAAAATATTAGAAGCTGAAACAGCAGAAGACAAAAAAGCTTATCTATATAAAACAATATCCGCATTAACAGAGACAAAGGATGCTATGCTTTGGAAAAAAAAGGACCTGGTAAAAGACTTAGAAGAAGAATATGGATATGCAACTAATCAAGCATTAACCTTAGATAGAAAAAACTTTGAAGCGATAGAGAAATATGAACAACGAATCCTAATAGAAAGACTTGCTAAACAAATGGAACCATGTGAAAATGAACCACTATGAGAACAATTCCAAGCAAAATATAGAGAATTGTTAGGAGTATCCTTAAAAAACCTAGATAAAATGCATGACGTAGAAAACGAAGAGGAACAAATGTTCTAAGAACAAATACGGGCTAGAAGAAAAGGCTTAGAATTACCAGAAACATTACCACCAAAAAATCTATATTATGAAGAATATCGACTAACAATAAATGAACCACGAGAAATAGAAACACTAGAAGATAGATGGCTACTAGATGACAACTTCAGACGAACAGCAGAATGGGTAAATAAACAAAATAAAAATCAATATTCAAAAGTACCAGAACAAACAATATCAAGAACTATATCAAGACCAAGCTCGCCAATGTTACCAACCTTTTTTGATAAAGCAAAAGGAATAGTACAAGGCACTTTAAGTGCAGCACAATAAATACTAAGTAGGAGAAATTCATTGCAATCAATACAATCATCTCACTCTAAACAACACCAACATAAATCATCACCACTGATAAAAGAAGTACAACCAACTGATATAATATCAGAATCAAGCAGTCTTTATGCATCAACAAATAAAGACGACGATGATAATGATGATAACAAATTGATATCACCAAAATATGGTCATAAAAGACAAAGATCACAATTTTTAAATCAACCTTCATTAAGAAATCCGAGGCTAGAACAATTTAGAAGAGAAAATTAACTAAGACAAGAACTATTTAGGCAGACAAAACGAGAACAATTAATACCAGAAGATGCACAACAAATGGTGGAATTAGATGACTATATTCGAGAGGATACAAATGACTATAATGATTATAGTCAACAAAACTATCAACAACAAAGAGAACTATATGATCCAAATAACGAATATAAAGCAGGAGGATCAATCTTATAATATGAACCAAGAGAAACTAAATGGACATGAGCCATAGAATCTGAATGGAAAGAACAAAAAGTCCTATATCTAGTATCAACAGGACAATCAGCCTTAACAGATAACGAATGGAGAGAGGCATACAAATACAAAGATCTAGCACAAGCATGGAAAGAAAACACAAGAATTAAAAGATCTAGCTGAACACAAAACTGAAATAGATTTCAAATCAGAACCAAAACAAGGATATGGTGTATCTGGAAATATATCTGATATAACAGATGTAGATCTTAATTTCTATAAAGAAATAAAAGAACAATACACTACTCATATTAGACACATCATATTGCCAACAATATGAGAAGGAAAAAATGCTAAATATCGAGTACTAGCAAATGAAGAAACAGATATACCCTCTATGACTATAGGGCATATCAAGATCCAAAACCAACAAAAGAAGATCTTTACATAGAAACCACAGCTAGAAAAGCCAAAGAAGCAGTAATTGTGCAGCCTGGAATAGCGAATGGAAAATATATAACAATAATGAACTATTTAAATAAGAAATTTGAAGTTAAAAAAGGACAACACATAGCGAATAGAGAGAAAGTCAAAATTAAAAATTTTGATGCAAAAAAATAGAAAAATTTTGAACTGAAAATTAACCAAAATTTTCTTCAAAAGTTACCAAATTTTGACGAATCCATCGAAAGTGAAAGGAAGAGAATTAAAATCCTTCAAGACCGCTGTCTTGAAACTAAAGGACCAGAAGTATGGAAATTAATAGGACATATTTTAACCAAATATGTCAATGTATTTCGAGAAAAAGAAGAATTTCATATATTTGTAGACCCAAATATGATAACACCAGTTGAATTTAAATTTAAACTGGAAATAGATGAAAGAAAAATATCATTAAAAGACAAAATGCAAGGTGGAAAAAAATATTCAGAACAAGACCTAGTAGTAATAAGAAAGATGAGAGATGATCTACTAAAAAATGGAATAATATATAGTGGAGACACAGATTGGCAAAGTCCCTGTGTAGTAATAGAAAAGAAAGATGGAACTAAAAAGATTGCAATTAATTATAGAAAACTAAATAGTTTTCTCCTACCTATTAGAGAACTATTACCATATCATCCATGTATATTAATACATATTCTAAGTCTTCTAATATTTTATTTATTGCTCTTATTAGGTATGCAGATGCTGTTTGGATTCTAAACGGTATTTCTTTTCAACAATAAGTTCCATATTCTGCAAATTGCGTTGCTGTATATTTTCTGGATGGTTCTGCTACTAATATTTGCCAATAGGCTGATTTTATATCTATTATTATATAATATTTGTATCTCACTACTCTTTGTAGCATTTGTTTTGTGTTGGGTAATGGTTCTCTAATAGGTAGGAGAAAACTATTTAGTTTTCTATAATTAATTGCAATCTTTTTAGTTCCATCTTTCTTTTCTATTACTACACAGGGACTTTGCCAATCTGTGTCTCCACTATATATTATTCCATTTTTTAGTAGATCATCTCTCATCTTTCTTATTACTACTAGGTCTTGTTCTGAATATTTTTTTCCACCTTGCATTTTGTCTTTTAATGATATTTTTCTTTCATCTATTTCCAGTTTAAATTTAAATTCAACTGGTGTTATCATATTTGGGTCTACAAATATATGAAATTCTTCTTTTTCTCGAAATACATTGACATATTTGGTTAAAATATGTCCTATTAATTTCCATACTTCTGGTCCTTTAGTTTCAAGACAGCGGTCTTGAAGGATTTTAATTCTCTTCCTTTCACTTTCGATGGATTCGTCAAAATTTGGTAACTTTTGAAGAAAATTTTGGTTAATTTTCAGTTCAAAATTTTTCTATTTTTTTGCATCAAAATTTTTAATTTTGACTTTCTCTCTATTCGCTATGTGTTGTCCTTTTTTAACTTCAAATTTCTTATTTAAATAGTTCATTATTGTTATATATTTTCCATTCGCTATTCCAGGCTGCACAATTACTGCTTCTTTGGCTTTTCTAGCTGTGGTTTCTATGTAAAGATCTTCTTTTGTTGGTTTTGGATCTTGATATGCCCTATAGTCATAGAGGGTATATCTGTTTCTTCATTTGCTAGTACTCGATATTTAGCATTTTTTCCTTCTCATATTGTTGGCAATATGATGTGTCTAATATGAGTAGTGTATTGTTCTTTTATTTCTTTATAGAAATTAAGATCTACATCTGTTATATCAGATATATTTCCAGATACACCATATCCTTGTTTTGGTTCTGATTTGAAATCTATTTCAGTTTTGTGTTCAGCTAGATCTTTTAATTCTTGTGTTTTCTTTCCATGCTTGTGCTAGATCTTTGTATTTGTATGCCTCTCTCCATTCGTTATCTGTTAAGGCTGATTGTCCTGTTGATACTAGATATAGGACTTTTTGTTCTTTCCATTCAGATTCTATGGCTCATGTCCATTTAGTTTCTCTTGGTTCATATTATAAGATTGATCCTCCTGCTTTATATTCGTTATTTGGATCATATAGTTCTCTTTGTTGTTGATAGTTTTGTTGACTATAATCATTATAGTCATTTGTATCCTCTCGAATATAGTCATCTAATTCCACCATTTGTTGTGCATCTTCTGGTATTAATTGTTCTCGTTTTGTCTGCCTAAATAGTTCTTGTCTTAGTTAATTTTCTCTTCTAAATTGTTCTAGCCTCGGATTTCTTAATGAAGGTTGATTTAAAAATTGTGATCTTTGTCTTTTATGACCATATTTTGGTGATATCAATTTGTTATCATCATTATCATCGTCGTCTTTATTTGTTGATGCATAAAGACTGCTTGATTCTGATATTATATCAGTTGGTTGTACTTCTTTTATCAGTGGTGATGATTTATGTTGGTGTTGTTTAGAGTGAGATGATTGTATTGATTGCAATGAATTTCTCCTACTTAGTATTTATTGTGCTGCACTTAAAGTGCCTTGTACTATTCCTTTTGCTTTATCAAAAAAGGTTGGTAACATTGGCGAGCTTGGTCTTGATATAGTTCTTGATATTGTTTGTTCTGGTACTTTTGAATATTGATTTTTATTTTGTTTATTTACCCATTCTGCTGTTCGTCTGAAGTTGTCATCTAGTAGCCATCTATCTTCTAGTGTTTCTATTTCTCGTGGTTCATTTATTGTTAGTCGATATTCTTCATAATATAGATTTTTTGGTGGTAATGTTTCTGGTAATTCTAAGCCTTTTCTTCTAGCCCGTATTTGTTCTTAGAACATTTGTTCCTCTTCGTTTTCTACGTCATGCATTTTATCTAGGTTTTTTAAGGATACTCCTAACAATTCTCTATATTTTGCTTGGAATTGTTCTCATAGTGGTTCATTTTCACATGGTTCCATTTGTTTAGCAAGTCTTTCTATTAGGATTCGTTGTTCATATTTCTCTATCGCTTCAAAGTTTTTTCTATCTAAGGTTAATGCTTGATTAGTTGCATATCCATATTCTTCTTCTAAGTCTTTTACCAGGTCCTTTTTTTTCCAAAGCATAGCATCCTTTGTCTCTGTTAATGCGGATATTGTTTTATATAGATAAGCTTTTTTGTCTTCTGCTGTTTCAGCTTCTAATATTTTTCTATTTGTGACTTTTTCAATTTCCTGGATATGTTTATTAGTTTGTTGCTTTGTTAATTAGGAAACATATTTATAATTCGTTTCCATACTTTCTAGTTGTTGTTTTAATTGTCTTAATCTCATTCTAATTCTTGAATCTTCATGTTCTTTTTCTAATTGTAAGATCTGATCTAATTGTGACAATTGTGTCTTAATGAATGTTCTCATTTTAGGTGTTTTAACTTTGCTTTCTTTTTGTTGATTTAAGGTGATATTTAAGCTTTTAGCTTTTCCTTTTCTTTTCTTTTTAGTATTATCTTTTTCTATTACTTGTTTTCTGAATTAATCTATTTCTCTTTGTGCTCTTTCTAGATAGATCTGATTTAATTTTTTTTCTTGTTTATTCTGCGGTGCTTCATGTTTTGCTGCAATTGTCATTTGTTTTAATTGTTCTGCGAGTAATGTTACTTCGGGGTCATCAAATTCTATTCCCAATAGAATAGTCATTCCTGATGATCCTGGTCCTTCATATTGATTTCTGTATTCTTTTAATTCTTGGTCTTTTTCTTTAGACCATTCTTCTTGAAGTGTTTCTTCTTTAAATATATCTCCTGCCCATTCTCTTAGTTTAGAGATTTCATGTATTTGTGCTATTTAATTAGCTATTTCATTTGACAATGTCTCTACTACCGCAGCATAGACCTCTTTATGCTGTATAATCATTTGGTATACTTCTTGTTGTATACTTGCTTGTAGATTCAATAGATGCTTGTGTTTGTCCATTCCTCTGCTGAATATCACTTCCGGCGGGCTGTTATTCATATGTACTAACATGATTTCTTATCTGTATATTTTTAGTATGTTCCGATATTTATCGATTCTCTTGCCTTGCCTTGCAGCATACTAGTGCTGCATATCAAAGCATATGCCTATTCGCTTCTTTAGTCTTGCCTTATCTTTATATCTTAACTCTTGACTTGTATTATTCACTATATCCATGAGGTCTGGAATGGTTGTACCAAAGCAATTGTTGCTGGCAGATTTTTCTAATAGTTGTCTAATATCCCATCGGTTCTTGTTTATTACGCGTAATATTTCATTAATATTGTTGATCATGTCTGATCATTTCTTATCTCCAGCCAAGGTACCTATATGTATCACAGCCCATCTAATATTCATTTTTTGCGCTCTTGCAAGTTCTTGTAATATTCTATTTATTTTCCAATTTCTTTTACCATTGTGCCCATACAATGGTTGATTAATATACAAATCTAATGTAATATGTAGTACTATTTTTAGCCTAATATTTTTATTGCCTATTATGATATTATTGTTTTCTGTTTTGTTAGGTTCACCATTTTGTAATTCAGTATATCTTTTTTCTTGTTTGTTTTTGAATTGCCCATTTAATTCTTTGTATATTAGGAAGATTTGAAGGATGTTAGAATCTGTAGCTAAAGCAGTTCTTACTATTTCTGACCATTTGCTATCACAAGTGGTTCCTATTAATTTGTTTCTTTGTTTATTTTTTTCCACTTGTTTTTTTAGTAGATTAAGTTGTTTATTGAATGAATAAGGTATTAATTCATTAATTAATTTTTTATATTTTGGATTATGGTATTCTTGTTCTACCTATTTTTGGGTACTGGGCACCTTTCTTAATGTTACTTCTTGGCGACCAGTATCATTTGGCATTATTCCTGGTTGGTTGTGGTCCATTTTAGATACCACGTTAGGCACCTTTTTGCAGGTTTTTTCCGTTTTTTGAGGGGTTTCTCATTTTTGAGATATTTGGCTAGCTTGAACTCGCATAATCTCAAGGTTCGGAGGGGTACCTGAGAAACTAGATCATTATGAATAGAGACTTGATCATAATACCTAAACCCCTTTGAAATTTGATGGTTTTCATCAATGTTTTGGTAATTTATTGGTTTACCATGTATAAGGATGATGTGTCTTTTTCGATCTTTAGATATATTTAATCATGCTTAATTGATTTCAGAGAGTAGGAGGTATGCTTAGTTTCCTTCAATGATTGTTACTTTGAGGTTTTCCTTGTATCTATCTACTTGGAAAGGTACTATAATTTTTCTATAGTTTTTAATTACTTTTCCTCCAGGAATTGTGCTGTCCTGGTCGGTAGTTCTTTTAATAATTTGAGTAAATTATATTCTCATGCAAGGTCTAATCTTATAACATTAGCACTTGCTCCTTTATCAAGTAATACTTTGATTGGTTGATTATTTATTAATGCTATAAAGTAGTATGCTTTCTTTTCTTTTGATTCATTTGGGACTATTTGTGGATCTTTCACAAATTTATAGTCTTTAAGCAGGTATTGATAATCAGGATCTTCTGATACTTTCTTTTTTATTTTCTTTGATAAATTTTCTTTGGCAGAACATATTGTGTATTGGTTATTTAAATATAATCCTTTATTTAATAAATTTGGATTAATATATTTAAGATTATTAATATTTTGTATTTGATATATATTTATACGTTTTCTAGTGTAACTATATTGTTTGTTATATGGAGATTGGTCCTGAACACTAGGCAGGTCTCCTAATAGAAAGAATTATATTTTTTATTTCTTTCATTGTTTGGTTTTTTGAAGGTAGAAGGTTGTGGTTCTTCTTCCTCTTCTTGTGAGAAGTATTCTTCGTCATTTTCATCTTGGTAATGATTTAATTTCTTTCTGAAGTTTACTTTTGGTTTTCTTTCATTATTAACTTCCTTTTTGGTTTCTCTTGTTTCTTTTGGTTTGAAGTTGTTTACTTTTTTGTTTTGGAAATTGTGTTGCATACTATTTGATTTTTGTCCATTATAGTAGGTTGCATTTCTCTTTGGACATGAGTTTCTATGTCCCTTAGTATATTTGCAATATTGACAAGGTCGGTATTGTGGTTTGCCATAGTTTCTTTTGTTTTGTCTGTTTTGACTATATCCTTTCCTTGCAAATCTTTGATTTGGTTTTTCTCTTTGGAATCTTTAAGGTCTTTTTTGGTTTCCTCTTGATTGGAATTTATTGAATGATTCCTTTTTTGCATTTCTGCAGTATCTTGCATAGTGTCTTTTTTGGTGACATCTGAAGCATTCTACCGTTGATATGTCTTTCTTCTCAGGGTTGTCAGTTGCATTACTGTTAATGAAGTTATTGATTTTTGTTCTCCTAAAGTTATTTACTTTTGGTATCTTGTTTTTCATTTGGTTGAGGTTTCTCTGTGCATTAAAGTAATTTTTGCACATATTTCAAAATTCAGCTCTGTTTACTGGTTGTGCTGCTGCGGTCATGATATGACTTTGGTAATCATGTAGTAATAGTTTTAATAGAAATTGGTATTCTGCTGCTAAGAATACATTTCCGAATTGGTAGTTTGCTAGTTCTTTTGCTTTTTCCCAGGCATTTCTGAATGCCATAAATGAGTTTTCTTTAGAGTAATCTGGTTTGAATTTTATTCTTTTGAATTTGAATTGGTAACTGAATCTTATATCATCAGTAATATATTCATTGTCAAATACTTCTCTGAATGATACTTGTGGTGATTGATATATTAGTTCTTCTCGTCCTAATGCTGTAGCGTGCTAGTCGTTGTTGGTATAGTCAGTTGCTACATTTATTAGATAATTAGTTGCATTTTTTAATCTATTGACATCTTCATTTCTTATTTTGTAATAGCAATTTATTGTTGGGTTTGTTTGGAATAATGCTTTAGCTGGTCCTGTTAATTTGGTAAAGATTACAGCTTTTACTTTGTTGAAATATTCTATGTTAAAGTATGCTTTTGATCTTGCATGATCTGCTCTATTTCGGTCTGCATCTGCTGCTACTCTGGTCCATCTTTCTTCATCATTTCTCCAGTATCTCCTGAATACTGCTACGGTTTGTCCTATATTCATGATATTAAAGATATTTTCTAATGAATTTCTCTATTCTACATATTCTTCTGGCCTGCCAGAGAATGTTGGTAGGTTTGATACTAATATTTTGAGACTCGAAAATTTCATTGGTGCTGCTATTTTGTTATCTCAATAGTGCTACTTGTATTAGTCTTTCAATTATTTGTGGTGATCTGTCTAATTGGTTTATTGCGTGATTATATTTTGATATATTGTTTATGTGCTAACAGTATATAATTAGTGTTGCTCTTCATCTTCTGTTAGAGTGACGTTTTCGTCTACTTCTTGTATCTTCGGTATTTCTATTTCTCTTTCTTGATATCCTGTATATGTTCCTGGCATTCGTTCAAATATAGTTATTTTCTTTTTGACTGTTCTTCTTATTCTTACTACCTGTCCTATTTGTTGGAGTTTTGAGTATAATTCATTTATTCTTCTTTTGATTTGATTATTTTCGTTATATCCTAGTCCTTGAAATTTTCTGGTAA